AAGAGATCCAAGTGATAGATTTGTTAAATTAACTTAACCTGAGTACCTAGGACTGCATTTAAGCTCAACTCTTCAAGGCACTGAAAACAACTTGTCCTAGGAGGAAGGGAAGACACATATCCATGCCACAATAATAGTCATCAAAGGAAGGAAAAAGGAAAAGGAAGTTGTGAGGGCGTAGAGGCAGCTACCGAGATTATGGTCAGAGGAGAGCAGAGGAGGTAGCAAGCAAGTCACCACCATGGATTGTTCGAGTTTCTAGATTGAGCAACGGTAACAACAACCCTAGATCCATAGCTAACGAATCAAATCAACCCACCAAGCATACCCAATATCTAAACTCTATTCCTACTAGAAAACCCACGGAGGGGCAAAAGGCTCAGTGGGTCGGTCGCCGCCTTGGCGGAGGTCCAACGGGAATGCAACGGGGAGAGCTAAGGTTGAGATGCACTTGATTCGAGATTGAATCCACAAGAGACTGATCAAGAATATGAAGAGGGAGGGAGAGAGTACCAGAATGGCGATGTGAGCCGGGATGCGGAGACCGACGGAGGTGAGAATCTGGATGTTCGGTCCAGGGAAGCATTGTCGGCGTCATTGTCGATCTAGGAAGCTCGGGATCTCTCATCGCTTGGTGTTGTGCAACGTCGATAGGAACATAAGAAGGGGAAGGCTGAAGGCGGCAGAACGGGCAACGAGGGAATGGTTCGGATCTGGCGAGTGACTGGGTGAGAAAGTAGGCGTCGCCGCCGGGAGGATAGCTAGGTGATGGATCTCTGCAAAGCTACTCGAGTGTTGTTGGTGGGCGAACTTAATTAGTAAGAATTAGCGGTTTGCGGTTTTGAACCGTAACCGTGCAGTTTCGGTCAATTCGAACCGTGAACCACTAACAGCTTAATGGTTAGTCCGCAAACGAAACCGATAGTTAACGGTGCTGTTTGGATTGACCGCATGAGCGGTTTGATCAAACCAATGCCCACACCTAGATGAGAGCAGCAGAAAGTCTGCCTCATCACTTTAGCGATTTTTGTAGTTATTAAAGAGCAAGGAGACGAGTTTTTTTTTTGTCATAGATATTCCCCAAAAAGGAAAAGTAGATGCGAAGTACAATAATATAAACGACCTTTGCAGGCCAAATCAAAAATAAAAAAAGACCTTTGTAGTTAGTACCGTGCTAACCATTCTCATCACCAAACATTATTTTAAAATTAAATCAAACGGTGGGGGCATTGAGGGACATGCTTGGTATTTTAGCAATAAAAATTTAATGAATAAATTAAATTTTAAATTATCTCTCTCCTCTTTTAGTAACGTGAAAAAATTCTATGAAAAAACTACTACTAATACTTAAACTAGTAGTGATTTAGCAAAGATGTTGTAGTGATTTTAGAATGTCATTAGTAATTTTGTTTTTGTATGCTATTTTGATTTTGTTTTAAGTTAATATTTTATAGTTATTAGTAACTAAACAAAACTGAAAACACTATTGATAAAAATAATAATACTTACAATATAAATAGCTACAGAAAAATCACTATAATACTATCGAAAGGCAATATTCAATACACGGAATAACTACACATCAAAGAAAAAACACTACTACATTAACAAAGTTAATATTACGATGAGTTCGTAGCAGGGAGATCATGGACTTAGCGGTAAGGAAATGTAGTAATGATTCGAAATGAAAACCAAATCACTACTACATATCCAATAAACTACTAATCACTAAATAATCACTACTACACAACTTCTACGAATCTACCCATCCATGAATCCTGCAGCGTTGACTGAGATCAGGGACACTGTTGGCAACGACGGCGTTAGCGTGGTTTTGATCTCTAATAACCAACATATTTTTCCTCCGCCGCCTGCTTCTCGCTGTCGTCGGAAGTGCGACCGTAAACCCGCCGCACAATATTCTCAGTCATGTCGCATGCCCGCCGCTTGCTTCCCGCCGACGCGCCGCCCTCCTCCGTAAAACACTTATGTCATGGCCCTCTCGTCGGCAAATGCCTCACCATTGTCGAGAGAGAATGAGGGATTTGCAGGTTTTTATAGAGAGAGAGAAAGGAAAGGGAGGCAGACGGTTTGACAAAAAGCAAAGTGGGGTGGAGGCACTTCGAGTGGGTAGAATATATATAAGGGTTTTGATTAATGGTTGTTGTTGTTACCAAATTAGCTTTTAATTAATCTTAGCCATTAAATTAGAATGCCATCAGACGGTTGTAAACAGAGTTAGCATGGTACTAAACTACTAATTTTATAAGAGGTTAGCACCTAATTCGACTCCAAGAGCAAGCGGCTAATGTACAATAATTAACCATTTTTGAATTCCCATTAATCAGACTTTGACACGTGGCTCAGTGGATTTCAATATTACATAACTAATATTTTTTTAAATAGATCAAAGAACAAACTAATCAAAACAGAGTCACATGTAGAAATGCTAGTATAGTTCCAAACTTTTATTCGTTTCTATCTGAGTCCATCGTCCTTGTGTAGTTGACTTGAACAAATCCTTATTTGACTAGGATTATTGTGCGTCACTGCAACTACTGGAGTTCTATCGATTCCTTGATGTTCTTCCATTAGGCTAAAAGGATACTTGCCCGGTTAAGGAATCTTTTAGAGATTATTGAACGAATTTTTTTCTTAGAAATTAATATAGCATATTGCATACCTCGAGGTGCTTTTTAATTTTTAATCAACTGCAATTTCGAATAAATAAAAAGTTGGATGTAGGAATCAGGAATGTGAATGGCCAATATATGCGGTGATGGTGAAACATCAACCAAGGGAACCCATGATCGCTGGTTTTCACAAATCATGGTATTTTATAAATTTGTTTCCACCTGGCGTGTCATCACGGTGATCCCCCTACCCCGTGTGAAGATAGATGATACATAGGTAACTTGGTATGACACGATACATGTGATGAGGTGTTTGCTGTCAAGTCCGCATATAACCTTGCCGTTTTGGTGGATAGACAGGTTGGGGAGTGTCGATCCACAATGAGCTAGATGGATAGAGCAAGTTGGATATTGATGTGGGATCTCCCGATTCCACCTAAGCTAAAATTGTTTCTCTTGCAAATTTTCCATCGTTTTCATCCTACTATAGAGTCTCTGATTGAGAACTAGACCTTGCCTAGGGGTGTCGGTTCAGGTCGGGTTGGTTAACTGAACCCGAAACCCACAAAACTCGAAACCCAAACTGTGTCTTTCTGCAAACCTAGAACCGAACCCGAAACTGGTGTATTCGGTTTCCAGTCACCTGAACTCGAAAACTTTAGTGATGGTTTTGGTTTGGTTACAATGAAACCCAAAAATGAAAAACCCGAAAAAGTGCACAGACGGTTTCCGGCTTTGTCCGGAGCTCCTTCAAAAGAGACTTTTACTTGTTAGGGTTAATACCTTATTTTGGCCTTAACTATACCCAAACTTTCTACTTTGGCCGTGGTTTCAGAAATTGCTACTCCTGGCCCGAACTATGTACCATACTTCCTTACTTGGCCCGAAGTTGTGTTTGACCGTTAAATTGGACGGTCAACTCCATTGATCATTAGTCAATGGCCACCTGACTTGCCACATCAGCGAACCCGGAATAAAAAAAATGTATATTTTGAATCGTCCAGGATGCCGAGCTGAGTGTGTCAATATGATGAGGACTCGTAGAGCCCCTTATGGGACCATATGGAGACGAAGTCCAAAGACGGGCTTGATAGCACCTTAACACCTTAACGGGGTACCAAACCGACAGGGTGCAACTTACCAACTTGATGAGGCTACAAAAACTAAGTATGGAGACCAAGCCGGCAAGGCTGGCTTGGTAATACGAGTCGACATGACTTGCTTGATGGGCAGGGGTATCAAGCTAGAGACACAATAAAAGCGGGAGCAAGAAAAGGAAATAAAACTAAGTGTGGAGTCTTGGGGGCTGCCAAGGGTGTGGTCGAGGCTTCATCATGGAGGCAAGGTTGAGGGCTTCAAGCTCATCCAGTCAAGACAGGGCGACAAAGCTCAACACCAACCCGACCCGGCATCGAGGCCATCAAGTACCCACCAGCCCCAATACGGGACAAGGCTCCCCAAAGCGACTGTTACCAGCTAGTCACCAAGGCGGCGACAACAACCCCGAGGCAGTTTGTAGCAAGGGGCCAGCTAGTAGTTACCAAGCTAGTTACAAGAGATGGCTATAAATAGAAGAAACGAAGAAGAAGAAGCAAAGGTTCCACAACCAAATATTTGACGCACAATGTCAAAATTTATCTTTTCTCTGCAACCTACCTTTTAGTTTTTCGGATCTCTCACTGAACCTCCATAGGAGTAGCTTAAAGTAACGTAGCTTGTTCCCAAAAAAACATCAAAAACATCAAACACCCTCGTGCGAACATTGTTTGGAGAAGTGCGAACCATGTTAGTTTCGTTGTTGAAGAAGTTAAAAATGCATTCATTGTGTTCAAACACCAATTTTTCCTCGCGAGAAAACAATCTCATATGCCTGCATAAAGTTTAGAGTAGTTCTTTGTTTCCCAACCTTTAATCATAACTTGCTAGTTAGGCACTAGCAACAGGTACACAAAACGACGTAAGTAGCAGGTGCCGGAAACCAAAACGACAAAGAATCTGCAATAAAAATACTGTACGTGGAGCGCGCGGCAAGCCACTAATCCACGTGATTCGCTCGTGCGCTAAACTGTAATTCGCTGGTCGACATGCCTCTGCACTTCTGCACTGTCGCTCGCTTTTTCTTTCTCACGATGTCAGTGCTATCCTGATTTGATCCGCTCATGACACGTGGCGTTTGCTGCAGCATCAACGGCCCCAAGTGAGACCCACAATCTTTTTTGGGGGAAAAAAGTCATCAAGTTAGTCCTCTCTTCCAGACCATTTTGACCATTCCAAATCACACAGAAGGAAACTGCTTCTTCCCCACTCTGTTCTCTTCTGCCGTCCCCCGCCATTACTATAAATCCTCGCAACTCTCTTCTCTTCAATCCAAACAAACAATCAAAATCAGTACTCTTATCTCTCCCTCTCCACCATTTTCGCTCTCAATCAGTTTTTTCCAACAACAAAAGAAATGCACAAAGTGCCTTCAGCTTCATCGCTGGGGCCGGGCGGCCTGGACCTAACCCAGTCCTTCTTCACGCCGATCCAGAACACTGCCCCACCGTCCTCCACAAAGGGGCACACCAAAATCTCCGTCATCGGCGTCGGCAACGTCGGGATGGCGATCGCACAGACCATCCTCACCCAGGACCTAGCCGACGAGCTCGCCCTCGTCGACGCCGTAAAAGACAAGCTCCGCGGCGAGATGCTCGACCTCCAGCACGCCGCCGCTTTCCTCCCGCTCACCAAGATCCTCTCCTCGACCGATTACACCGTCACCGCCGGATCCGACCTCTGCATCGTCACCGCCGGCGCCCGCCAGAACCCCGGGGAGTCCAGGCTCAATCTCCTCCAACGAAACGTCGGCCTCTTCAAAAAAATCATCCCTCCCCTGGCGCAGCTTTCTCCCGACGCAGTTCTCCTGATCGTTTCGAATCCGGTGGACGTCCTCACTTATGTAGCGTAGAAGCTGTCCGGGTTCCCCTCGAACCGGGTCATTGGGTCTGGTACTAACCTGGATAGTTCCCGGTTCCGGTTCTTGATCGCTGACCACCTCGATGTCAATGCCCAGGACGTCCAGGTAAAAATTCAAAATGTCAAGACCTCCACATCATAGCTAAATTCCAACTGCAACCGACGAGAAATAAAAAAAAATTAACAATTCGAATTATTAAAACCAAAATTGCGGAATCTTATGCTTGCAGGCGTACATTGTGGGGGAGCACGGCGACAGCTCGGTGGCGCTGTGGTCGAGCATAAGCGTGGGCGGGGTACCGGTGGTGAGTTACCTGGAGAAGCAACAGATCCCGTGCGAGAAGGAGACACTGGAGCGGATCCACAAGGAGGTGGTGGGATCCGCGTACGAGGTGATCAGATTGAAGGGCTACACGTCGTGGGCGATCGGCTACTCGGCAGCGAATCTGGCGTTTTCGATCCTCAGGAACCAGAGGAAGATCCACCCGGTCACTGTACTGGCCAACGGGTTCTACGGGATTGGACCGGGGGCAGGCGGAGGAGAGGTGTTTTTGAGCTTGCCGGCTCTGCTGGGGAGAGGCGGCGCGTTGGCGGTGACCAATGTGCACATGACGGAGGAGGAGGCGCAGCGGCTCAGGGACTCCGCCAAGACTCTGCTCGAGTTGCAGAGGCAGTTGGAGATTTAAAGATAAGTGTAGTAGTCATTTTGGAAGGTGCATGTGTTATGTGTATGTACATGTAAGGAAAGGAGCTGTTGTGTAGTTTCAAGTACTTTTGTGTCCCACGTCAATATGAGTTGTTTTTGGTATCTACCTAGTTGAGAATGAGAATTCATTGATGACCTGGTGAATGTTTTATGTTAGTATCATTAATGCGATGAATCGATAAGGTAAAGTGACAAATTTTTATACCGACAGATGATGGGGAAAGATCTATGAACAGTTGGTAAGTAGCTGGCAATTCAAATTCATGAATGTGGGTAGTGATCTACTCACTACGAGGAATCTCCGCAATAACTGGGTATGTGTAAATGTTTTAGGTTGTATCATTAATGTGATGAATCGATAAGGTAAAGCGCTTTAGGCAAATTCTCAACGAGAAAGATTTATGAACGATTGATAAGTAGTGATGGCAATCAAACCTATGATTGTGGGTATTCGATCGTCCTGACCTAGACAACGTGGGGAATCTTCGCATTGAATGAGTATGGCAAAAACCCGCAAATTTTTTTTATGGGTATGAGGTGGTTATGATTTTAAAAGTAATTCGAGAAAATAAATAATAGAAATGCAATTGAGTGGCCACCCAAATCAAAACCTAATACATTTCCCTCAATCCTCCCTTCACTCTTTCACTTTTCCCCCTTGTTAACAATATTATGTTAGTTAACTGTTATTTAGTAAATGTATGAGAGTTAGAGAATAACAATTTTTAAAATATTGTACTCTATCTTATGGATTAATGTATGTTTTAGGATCAATGCTTTGAACTGTATTAAGAATGATTGTATCTTTGTTAACTTTTTTTATAAAACTCTTTCGCCGTTAATGAATTCGGTAAGGAAAGGAAGGGTATAGCCTCATGGTCAATTGAATAAGCACTTCCCTCAAAATTCGTCCAACTCGAAATAAGAGGCTTTGCCTTGGTCTTTATTGCGCACTAGTTGGGCGGTTTGAATGAGAAAGTGTTATCGCTTAATATACCAATCACTTTCTTTCGGGAATGAGAATGGTATTCCCAGCTAACTAAGGGACATAACATAGCCTCTATTATTTCATTAAAGAGTTGAAATAGTAAAGGAGTCAGCTAAAAGCTGTGAAATCAAGAAAATATGTGGTCTAGAGTCCCACACTTTAGTTTCATCCCACCTACAGGATGTATGGGCTATAAGATAAGCAGCTGTATTAATTGCCTGACCCGAGAACAATACCTGGACCGAGCCCAAATCCTTCATCCTTTCTCTAAATTCATCGCAGGCGATCCCCTCTTCCGTCAGCGCCATTTCCTCCTTCTGGATCTTCTGAACTGCATTCAGGCAATCTGTCGCTATTTCATAGGGACTGAAATAATTTTCCATCGCCAAATCAATCCCCCACCGTATCGCCATACACTCTGCCATCTCCGGTGACCACTGGATCCGGCTTCTTCTCACTGCGGCGAGGCATAAATTGCTCTCCTTGTCCTTTATCACCAGACCAAATCCATATCCCTCTCCCTCAAAGCATGCAGCGCCAATATTCACATTGGAAACCATCGAAGGGGATATCCAGCGGTACTCCCCCTACTCCTGACCATCCATCTTCTAATGATGGTATTCCAGGTATTCTGATAATCATCGCCTGCTTTACCCATAATCTCGAACTCTTCTAATTTCTTCTTCATCCATAGCTGACTATTTTGTTCTTCCTAGATGAACGAGAGCGCCACGAGGTACTTCCCAATATGATCGTCAGAGACTGTCGCTTGAAGCTCCGCATCCACTCCTCATAGGTAATGTTCTGCTCTACTTCAAACATCTGTCTGAGTGAACTAGGACCCCAGACCCTTCGAACCCATCTGCATTCCTGGAAGAGATGCTTTTGGGTTTCCTTTAGCCCACAGAAGGGGCCATCGTCCCATTCTTTATCAATTCGATCAACGATGTTTGCTCCAGCAGGGAGAACATTTTTTATCCATCTCCACGCAAAGATCTTTACCTTAGGGGGAATAGTAAGTTTCTAAATTCGATCCCAGTCAATAGGTGTATAGAGTTCGCCCACCTCGTCTTCATGTATGTTAAACCAATGGTAGTAATCCGATTTGACTGAATACCTTCCTGATTTTTCAAAAGCCCAAATTCTTTTGCCTTCAGCTGGTTGTCTGGGTATTTGAATCTTGAGAATTCGTTGTCTATCAATGGGAGTGAAGCGAGATTGAAGCGTAGAATATTTCCAAATCATGTTTTCTAAGTCCATAAGCTCACAGACTGATGTAGTGGGAGCAAAAAGGGTTTGGGGTGATTCAACTTTGTAGTTCATCGCTATGGGCACCGATTTGTCATGCCATATGTCAACTTTGTGACGGTTACCAATCCTCCATCTTAGTCCAGCTCTCACTACCCCTTTGTTGCTAGAACACTTCTCCAAATATATCTAGGATTATAACCCTCCTCTGCTTCCAATACATCTCTATTTGGGTAGTATTTGGCTTTGTAAACATGAGCCACCAAGGAATCAGGGTTCAGAATAAGATTCCACAATTGCTTACCTAGAAGTGTTAGATTGAAGTCTTGGAGATTTCTCCAACCTAGCCCTCCCTTATACTTTTGCAAGCACATTTCCTTCCAACTCACCTAATGAGTTCTGATATCCACCCCCTGCTGGCCCCACCAGAAGTTTGAAATCAGACTCTGTACTTCCTTTGTAATTGCCACAGGGACTAGAAAAACTTGCATCACATAATTCATCTGAGTTTGGGCTACTGCCTTGATTAAAACTTCCTTCCCTCCATAAGACAACAATTTGCTCTTCCATAGCTTTACCTTTTTGCGAACTATGTCAACCAAATAGTTGAATACATCCTTCTTTTGTCTCCTAATCATAGTTGGAAGTCCCAGATATTTAGGATGATAATCAACCACCTTCATACCCATTATAGTTCCAAACTCAATCCTTATATTGTGATCAACATTTGGCGAAAAAAGGAGATTTCTTATTTCATCAGGTTAACTTTCTGCCCACTTTCTTCCTCGTAGATATTCAAGATAGCCCTTAAATGTCCATACTCTTCCTTCGTAGCCTTTGAAAAAAGAACACTATTATCCGCAAAGAGTAGATGACTAATAGATGGAGCTCCTCTTTTTACACAAATTCCTTTTATTTTCTTTACCCTTTCTGCTTGTGTTAAGAGATCATATAGGCCTTCTGCAATAAAAAGAAACAAGTAGGGTGAAATGGGGTTGCCTTGCCTCAGACCTCTAGTTGGAAAAAACGTCTCAGTTTAGTGACCATTCACAAGTATCGAGTAGGACACTGTCCAGACACAATGCATAATCATAGCCACCCATCTTTCATGAAAACCAAGCTTCTTCATCACCCTTCCATAAAACTCCATTCAACTCTGTCGTATGCTTTGGAAATATACAACTTTGCCGACATGAAGCCTTTCTTTCCTTGAGTTCTGTTTTTCATTGAGTGGAAATACTCAAAAGCTACCATGACATTGTCTGTTATGAGTCTGCCCGAGACGAATGCACTATGAAATTCACTAATCACCTCATTCAAAACTCCCTTTAGTCTAATAGCAAGAACTTTAGAAAGAATCTTGTAAAGTACCTTGCAAAGACTAATAGGTCGAAAATCCTGGGTGATTCCACTACCTTCTTCTTAGGGATCAGAGCAATCAGCGTATGGTTGAGTGTTTGTGGGAAAGATCTTTCATTAAGAAATTATTGTAGCTCTTTGGTCACATCTTGTCCCACCACATCCCAGTTCTTCTGAAAGAACAAGGCTGTCATGCCATCTGCCCTAGATGCTTTGTGTGGTCCCATCTTCTTTAATGCCCTCCAAATCTCATCCTTGGTAAAAGGTTTCAAGAGTTCCTCATTCATCGCAGGGGAAACTTTTCATTGGATAGCTTCCAAAATTCTGGCAGAGGGTATTGCATTACATGCACAAAAGAGAAACTTAAAGTAGTTAGTTAGGCACCCCGCCATTGCCTCCTGTCCTTCCTTCACCTCTCCATTATCTTTCACCAGCTTAGATATAGTATTTCTATTTTTGCTATCTAAAGCCTTACGATGGAAGAACTTCGTATTCTTATCTCCCTCCTTGAACTAGTCAACACTTAACCTCTGTCTCCACATCAGTTCTTCCTGAATTAATATCTCATTCAACTCCCTCTCAAGGGCTTCCTCTAGATAACTACCGCAGCAGTTGACCTGCTTGCACTAAGTTTATCAAAGGCCCTTTAAGCTTTATATTTCCTGTCTCCCATGTCCACAAATGTCCTCTTGCTCCATTCTAATAGTTGTCCCTCACACGTCTTGATTTTTTCTATATGTGAGATACTTTGTCCAGCTTGCCACGTCTCAGTTATGACTTGTTTGCAATCCACATGATTTTTCCAGTATGACTCAAAATGAAAGCTCCATCCCCATTTTATGTCCTGATTTACCAGCCTAGTTTGAAGAAAAATAGGAGCATCGTCTGATCTACTTCTCCAAAGATGGTAAACTCTTGCGTTGGGGTAGTAAGATTGCCACGAAGCCGTGGCAACCATTCTGTCCAGCCTATGCTCTAGGTAGGTGTCATCAGTTGATTATTTGCCCACGTAAAGATCTTCCCATAATATCTTAAATCCTCCAACTTGCAATCCTCCAATGCATCATTAAAAATATCCATCTCGGCAACGTTTGGAAGGTTTAAGCCATTCTTCTCTTTATATCTTTGAATGAGATTGAAATCACCACATACAAGCCAAGGTAAATCTGTCATATCTCTTAATTCCCTGAGTAGGGTGGACATCATGTGTTATTATCTTGTTCAAGCCACCCATAAATACCAGTCAGCCTCCACTGAAAGCCTCCATCTGTCACACACACATCAATATGATTAGTATACTTAGATTTTACCACCACCTGCACTTCCTGACTCTATAAAATCAACAGTCCCCCCGCCCTTTCTACCTATCCTACTCCTTTTCCTTTCTTCCATCCTAACTCTTTGATCACTGCCTCCCACTCATGTTCCTGTTTTTTAGTTTTCATTAGAAAGGCAATCTTGGGATTTTCACGACGAAGCAATTTCTCCACTCTTTATTTGCCTGGGAATTCCTCAACCCCCAACAATTATAACTTAGGACGTTTATTGGGCTAGGTGGCATTGCCAGGTGATTCGGGCCCAAATGTAGACATTTTACCCCTCATTTCTTATTTGTTTAGCTAAGTATTTCATCATTCCTCGACATATTTCACGTTAGGTTGTGTTTGTTTTGATACATTTTAGGACCTAGCACGTGTGGAAGGGTCGAGGTCGAATTTTGGGATAATTGGAGGTCAAAAAGTGCAAAATCCGAAGTAAAGTCTGAAGTCCGTGACAATTGCCTCGTAACAGTGAAGTGAAGCCCTCCCAGGAAACAACCGCAGTTCATGGCCGGACGAGGCAGTTCATGGTCTTCTAAGACCATGAACTTCGACCACAAACCGTGAACACCGAGGCGTCCAACGAGGTTCCTGAAGTTACTGACGACAAGGCAGTTCACGGTCTCTAAGACCGTGAACCTAGGAAGCAAGGCGGTGCGTTTTGGAGACGACTGAGTTCACGAACGCGTTTAGGTGTTCATGACCGTGAACTGGCCAACGCGTCCGTGAACAGATCGCTTTCGGGTAATTATGAAGACAACAGCGGGGAGAGAAAAAGGGGAGCTGGTTTTTGGAGAAGAATTGGTTTCTTTCTCTAGGGTTTGCCCATAAACACCAAAGGGGAGTTCTAGTGATAAAGAGAGTGCTATAGTGATCTTGGAGCATCATTGGAGGCTTGGGTGGAGATTCAAGCCTAGAAGAAGAAGAAGAAGATCTAGAAACTCACTCTTTTCTCTTGGGTGTTTTCGATCCCTAACTAATACGTTGTAATTACTTGTTTGGATTGAATGATTAAGTGTGGGTTTGAATCAATTTGAGTATTAGAGGTGTTTTCATGGATTGTGCATGTTTGTGCTTAGCAATCCAAGGGTTGTGCATGCTTGTGCTTAGAAATCTAGGTTAGGGACCCTTGACTCAAGTTTGCATCTAGGTTGGTTGTGATTAAGCTGCTCAAACTCCAATTTGAGGGAGAGACCTAGGCAACCACTAGTGACTTAGTGAGAGGATCAATCCCGTGACAAATCGACCTCCAGTGAATCCATCCCATGACAAATGGATCACTAGTTGCTCCTCCTAGTGGTTTCCCTAGACTTGTTGAGTGGATCGATCCCGTGACAAATCGATCGCTAGTAATTTGATTCCATGACACATCTATCACTAGTTTCTCACCCCCGTGGTTCACAACCACTCACGCCACACGACTCCATTCAATCCCACGAGCCATGGTAGCTAGTTAGGGGGAAGCAACTCCTGAGTGAAGCTCCCTTAATTAGACTTTTCCTTTATTTACTTTTCTTTGCTTGTTTAGTTTGTATTTCCATTAATCATAAACCCAAAACCGTTTTGATAGATAACAACTTAAGCGATTGAAGAACGGGTATATGGATCACCCGAGTCGATATTTAAATACTTGCACTATACTGCACCAGGCTAGAGTTTAAGAACTTGGACTCTAGTCGGGATTAATTTGTGGTGTAGTTTCGTACGAGTCACCTGGTTGCCAGGTCCGCCTCACCGCCATCCTTCTTTGTTTTATCATCTTCCAACAATGTAGTAACATCCTTCTTGTTCTCAGTCTTCACCTGACCCTCCTTTGGATATGATTAATATGAAAATTGAGAACCTTTGCCTTCTAGCACCCCCTTCTTGTCCCCACCTCTTTCACTACTCTCACCATCAGAAATTTGAGGCTCCAGCTCCCTCTTCTGGGGTGTCAGTTGTGTCATGGGTTTATCCACATGTCTACTTTGGCGTGATTGTCGAGCCCACTTTCTCTGTTTGATGTTATGTGGTAACGGTTTATCCATTTTTCCCGTAGAGAAAATCAGCTCCTCTTTACCAGAATTAAAAAGCTTTTTCCATCAGGTCCACAGTATGAGTGTTGGATTCTGTATTTGTTAACTCCTCTTTTTGCTCATTAGCGTGGCGACGATTCCAAATATCCTCAGCTGAAACAATGTACCCTTCCTTTGTATATTTTTTTTGCATGTGCAATGAGTAAACATTCTTCTTTTCTCTTCGTTCCTGGCTTGTTGGTAACTTACTGAGTTCAGAGAGGCCTCCTTCCCTAACTGGGATGGATTTCCTTTTCGGTATTTGGCCTCTTCCAATTTCATTCTTGCAGTAATAGCTTCTCTATCAAATTTCACTCTCAATGCCATCCATAGCTCATCTGACTCCTCATTCTCTTGTTTGGATTGTCAGGATTGATTTTGAAGAGGGCCCACACGCAGCTCCGGTTTGAATAAATCCTTCCCATCCGCTAGAGGGGTAGGGCATTACAGTTTTGGGCGGCCTACTTTTCCATAGAAAAAACAGAACAAAGGTCATTTCTCGTATTTAACAGTGAAACTCATAACCTCGCCTTGAACCTTGAGCTTCAGCTCCTGTTTTAGAGGTATCCTTATATTATTTCCAATCCTTAAGCGCAGGAAATCTTCCAGTAAACTATCCATTTTGTTGTTAAACCATATGAATATGCCAAAACGGGTTGCAATCTTTTGCGCCATCTCAATAGTATTCAAAGGCACAGTTAATCATATATTCTAATCCAAATTTCCATTATGTTGAAGTCCTTCGTCTTAGGCTTGTGAAAAGCATCTGCCTGCTGAAAAATCAAGAGGTGATTGTCATAGTGCCAAGGTCCTCCACGCCATACTTTATCTCAATCGCCTCTTTCCAAAAACTGAAAAGCGAAAAGTTGGTCATTAGAGTCAGTAATCTAAAAAATTTTCTTGAGGTTCTATGCTTTGGAAAGGGCAATCTTCATTGATTTGATATTTTGTTTTTTCTCGGAAACAAGTCTTCCCACAAGTTCACTACATTGACATTGTCGTATCATAATCTTCTTCTTAACTTCCAAGAGATCATCATCGTCTGCAAGACTAATGTCTTGGATCTTGTATTGCAGGGCCTCCGTGAAACTCCTGTCTTCTTCAGCAACCTCCCCACTGGGATTACCTTCCTAGAATCAGTTCCAAGGGAGAAACTTGGGCCAGCTGCTTATTGAGGGGATTTTCTAGTTCTGCTATGGCGACGGATTTTCTTTGTGTCCCACGCTCCTCCTTTTTCTGTGATTCCAGGGTATCTTCCATCATAAAAAGTTCCTCTCTTTGTATTCATATCAACATATTAACAGAGACAATCTCCAACAAATGAAAAAAAGATCACTCCCTTACCCTAACCGCGGGAGGCTGATTAGGGTTTCTCAAGCTTTGCGATACCCCTTTTGTCGTCAGACCGAGAGAATCTCTCACTCAACTAAGGAAAACCTATAAAGCACTACTAAACAACTTTAGCTACAGGATAAACCACGGAAACCTAGTCCAATCTCAAAGAGAAGACCAGAAACACTAGCGTTTCTGAGGAAAACCTAGATAGGAAATCTTCCTTCCGAAACTCTCGCTAAACGAGAGAGCGAATCTTTTCATGGGTGCGTCTATCTTTGTTAACTTTATGATATAGTAGGTTCATTTAGTAGTAGTTGGATTACGGGGAGGGTATTACCCACCGGTACTCACAAACCACGGTTATGGGGATGAGTTTGCAAAATCTTCCTCCGCATGGGTATGAGTGGGGTATGGGTTTGATAACGGAGATGAGGATGGTTTAGGAAAAATCTGCATCAAACCCACCCCATTGCCATCCGTACTCATAGGCAACAATTTAATCTAAATTGACAAACGCGTTCAGAGTCCCCTCCTTTACCCTTCCCCCACCCCTCAAGCAGTACTTGTAACACAAATTTCAATAAAAAGTTTTTAATATAGACTATCGTTAATATTGTTTTTGTTCATATACAATTTCAAAAAAATTACGTATTATGGATGCATTAGCTTACCATGAATAACGTCTTTAACTTATTTCGGTCAATGTTTATAAAAATTAGGGCTAATTCTACTAGGAAGTTTAAACTATCCTAAAGGTGTTATTTGTGCTCTAAACTATTCAATATGACAAATCTTGCACAAACTATATGCGTTTCGTGACATTTCTGTCCTAAATTATTCAATATGACAAATCTGACACAAACCACAAAGATGCTGACTAGATTTTCTGTTAAATACTAATGGTCAATCCCGGTCAACATTAAAGGAAAATAGTTTGTGCCAGATTTTTTCATATTGAATAGTTTAGGTCTTTAGAGCACAAATGACACTTTTTGAATAGTTTAGACTTCCTAGTGAAATTACATCTAATAATTATTAGACATATGTTGAAGCAATTGTATTTCGTCATGATTTAAACAACAACCTCTACACATTTTGATGTTCTCGTTTTGGTTTATTTGCTTGAAATTTTAATTAGTTATTTTTTTAGTGTCAGGTTGAATTGTACTTAAAAGCATGGGCGGATCCAAGGGGCCCCTAAATTTTGGAAAAACGATTATCTACCCCTGTGGTAATTTACATATGGACAAAAAATTATAATTGATAGTGAGGGACACCTTTGAAATTTGAAAAAATGATTATACTACTGTCATTTTTTAAATTTATGTATGTGAATATAAGTGGTAGGTTGAGTAATTCAAACCTAGAACATTATTATTATTAATAAACTTAATTTCCATTAAACTACAATTCTTTTGTTGTTCGATTTTGAACACTGTGTAATAGTAAAATGTCACGACAAGTATCTAGGTGTTCCTACAAGTTGGGGGCGTTCAAAGAAAGAAACTTTTCTGTTCTTACTGGAAAGAATGGAGAAAAAGGGGGAATCTTGGAAGAGTTTACTTTTATCACCGGGCGGAAAGGAAGGCAGTGATTCAGGCAATCCCGACCTACCTGATGAGTGTCTTTCTCCTGCCTCGCTCCCTCACCAACAAGATGGATTCGGTGCTAAAAAGATTTTTCTGGTCCGGATCGATGAGGAGAAAATCTTTACATTGGTGTGATGCCAAAGTCCTGGAAAAACCGAAGGAGGAAGGAGGACTCGGCTTCAAAAATTTTCATTTGTTCAATGTTGCTCTCATCGGTAAACAGGTCTGGAGGTTGTTGCAAAACTCGGATGCAATTTGGGTGAGGCTGCTTAAAGGTCTTTATTTTTCCAATGGAGACTTCTTTTCGGCAGCTAAAGGAAGAAATGGATCATGGATCTGGAGCGGGCTCTGTGAAACCAAAGAGAGACTCAAGCTGGGCCTGCTCAAGAGTATTATGTCAGGTAATGATTCATTGTTTAACACTGACCCTTGGATACCTTATGTCCAAACCAGTCAAAGGTGAGCGAGTGGATTCATCAAGAGGAACGATTATGGAAGGTGGAGAGTTTGCGAGAGGTGGTTCCTGAAGGAGTAATTCAGGATATCCTGCGCATTCCGATTGGACCAGCTGAGGCCCCTGATCAATGGGTTTGGAAGTTTACCAAGACGGGAGCTTACATGGTAAAGTCCGCCTATCAAGCTCTGAGGGAATCGAGGGATCAGTTCGTGCAGCCTACGGCGTTGGTCCAGTCACATCCTAATAGTGATGACTGGAAATGGTTATGGTCGTTCTCCCTTCCACCAAAGCTCCGTTTCTTCATTTGGAAGATTGCAAAGGGTGCCATTGCTACGAGATCCCGACTGTTCGATCGAAGATGTGCTCCCAACCCTTGCTGCTTAATCTGCAACCACAATATTGAATCTATCTATCACTGCTTCTTCACTTGCCCCCATGGAGCAGCCACTTGGGAGCTGATGGAGCTTTCGCCTTTCGTTCCGCCCGAGGAAGGCCTCTTCTCATAATGGTTATTCAACCTTCGGGAAGCGTTGCCAGTGGAGGCTATCAAAAGAAGTGTCTGCTGCTTATGGAATATTTGGATTGCTCGCAATGGTTGCATATTCGAGGATAAGGTCATTTCCCCGACCTCTTCTGCAGTGCTAGCTGATAGAGATTTACATGCCATAGCGGAAGTGCGAAGCTCCACCTCTACTCTGTCTGCTACGAGACCAGCTGTACTGCAATCTCAGCCTAGGGGATCCCGTTCTCATCCTTCACCACCGCCAGGTCCTTTCCAGAGGATAATTCATTGTGATGGCTCGTTTTGTGCGGATTCACAGGAGGCGACTTATGGGATTACGATTTCTAATGCCCATGGTCAAGTTTTGGACGGCAAGGCTGAGAAAGTCTTTTGTTCCTGTCCTATTCAAGTGGAAGATTTTGCAATTCTTAATGCAGTCCTGTGTTCGGTTCGGGATGCTTGCTCGACTTGCATTAGATCTGATTGCCAGATTCTGACAAGTGCCTTGAAGCTTGCTCTTGACCTTTGGCTTTGGCAATGTCGACCGATCTTGGGATGTATCATTACACTCCTCTATTCGGCTCCATGGATCTCTATTGAGTTTGTTCCCCGTCGTCTCAATGGGCTTGCTGATTGGGTGGCACGTAATGAACGGATGGGATCTCTCCCACTAGATTGGTTGATTATTGCCGATCTTATTTCTCCTCTGCTGTAAGAATGTAACTGGTTTCCCTTGTTGGGTTATGGAATAAAAAGCCGTTTCTCATTGTAAAAAAAAAAAAAGTGTAATAGTAAAATGTCATTTCCTATCTCTAATTATTTTCAAAACCTAACAATTAAACTAATTTCAAGATACCCTTAATTTTTATTGATTTTATGATTGTACGACAAGTATTGAAAGATTCTTTAGCTTTGGGTTACATCAAGAACAATTTTACAAATCGAATATGCGATAAGTTTATGAATGATTGTTTAGTAGGGTATATAGAGATAATTTTTTTAACACTGTAGACACCAAGTGGATTCTACAATTATTTATGAATATGAAAACATATCATGAACTTTTTTAACCCGTACGAGTGAGTAAGGTGTTTTCTTATTTATAATTTTATTTTTATTAGATTTATTTTTTAAATGAGGGCACCCTATAGAAAATTCCTGGTTCCGCCACTGCTTAAAAGTATACCCTATTCAGCCCAACTCAATCATGAAAAAATCACAGAGTTCTAATTTTTTTTATGATTTTGAATTTAGTAATTTCAAAATCAAAAGCATGTAGATCAAGGTTGTCAAACCGTTTTATATCGTTGTGCCGGTTTGGCAAGTGGAATGGTACGACTGGTGGTATAACCAGTTTGTGTCGGTTCATGCCGGTTTAAAAAAAATGTAAAAATAATTCATATTCAATATATTTAATTATATATAAAACATATTTGTGCACAATTTAGTTAAAATCCAACAAATATCATCAACTTTTAACTATTAAATTCATAAAATGAATAAAAAATTAATTTTTTTATTAGTTAAATTCATTAAAATGATGTTATTTTGCTTAGAATGCGTAAGTCGATCATACCGGTCATACCGATGGTGTCATGCCGGTTTCATGACCGGCACAGGTTGAACCAGGTTCAACCGGGTGGCATGCCACCGATATGACAACCATGATGTAGATCAAATGATTAAAACAACTAAATCCGAATCATGAAATCCATTTACACTCCTCCACGACCACGAGCTTAATTCGGTAATTCCTTTCTTCACTCTTTACTCATGACCGCCACAGATTGAACCAAGTTCAACATGTCACCGATATGACAACCATGATGTAGATGAAGTGATTAAAACAACTAAATTCGAATCACGAGATCCATTTACACTCCTCCACGACCACGAGCTTAATTCGGTAATTCCATTCTTCACTCTTTACTCTTTAGCATTGCGAAATGCGAACGACATCGTTTACTGTTGCGAACCAATATCAATTCCATCCCAGTCATCAATTCAACACACAGCAAACTCAAGAACCAGGCAGATTGACGGAAACACTCGAGGAAAAATGGCAGGAAGATTGAGCAACGTTGCTTCACGGATCATGGGAGGGAACGGCGTCGTGATGCGGTCCGCCGCCGCCTCCCTCCGCGGCCGCGCCGGGATGGGACTCCCCGTCGGCAGACACATCGTCCCCAACAAACCAGTCAGTAACCACCTCCCGCCTTCCCCTCTCTCTCCCCCATTTCTTCGCGATTCCTCGAATCCCTAAATACGATTGATTGTGCATTTCATTGTTGTTTGTGCGATTCCAGCTGGCGGTAAATGACGAATTGGTTTGGGACAACGGTACCAACCTTCCGGAGCCTTGTATCGATCGAATTGCCGATACTGTTGGAAAGGTAAACGTTTCGGTTCACGACTTCAATTTGGGTTTTCGCTTCATTGTATGATTCGCTTCTGAACTCCATTTGGTTGTTGATGACAGTATGAAGCTTTGGCTTGGTTATGTGGAGGTTTGAGCTTCTTCGCGTCATTGGGGTTATTGGCTGTGTGGAATGACAAAGCATCCAAGACACCCTTTGTAAGTCGTGATATGCTTGGTTCTAAACATTTCTCCTATGCTTGGTTCTATACATTTCTCCTTAGCAATTGGTATCATCATGACTTTTGAATTTGTTGCTGGTTTAATTGTCCACATCCATAGTGTGAGTGTACTTACTTTATGCAGCTTGAACTTTAGGGTGATGAAATGCTCCATTGCTGGCCGATTTCTTTGTGTTTTGATTTGAATTTGATAAGCATTGGATGATTGAACTTATAAAAGAACAGAGATTTTGGCCATCACCTGGTTATGTTTTTTTTCCCCGCTTAATTTATACATGTTCGCTGTATCCATGGAAATGTGTTCGGTAAGCTGCAGTTATATTTCCAACGCTGTTAATTTATAGATGAGATAGGAACTGGTTCTAGAGCTTTGCGATCTAATCTGGGGCCCCTCTTGTTTGTCCATTACATTGATATGTGCTGTTTCTATCCGATTAGTGCAGTAAGAAGTATTATAAAGTCATACATATAGATAGCAGTATGCAATATCTCTTGTTTCCCCCTTCTTTTTGGTGTATCCAATGTAAAGAATGAGCCTAGTTGTTGTAACATGGATATCAGTTGGGAATGCGAGAGCCCAAACCAAATTTAAGCATCTCAGTTAATTCTAGCAAGCAGTTTCAATAAATGTAGCGTTCAAAGAGGCAACTAAATTGTGGCTCTGAGTGTTGAGGTTTATGCAATGGTAAAAATCAGTCTACTTTATGATGTGGAGGTCAGTTGCGAATGTGGAACCTCATATGGGACTTAATCATCATAGCTATTAGAGCAATCAGTAATCATAAATGTAGTGATCAAATAGCAACCAAGTTACAATGGCATTGCTCTCATCAGGGAGACATTCATTTCTAGAAGCATAATGGGTGTTTATTGAGGATGTCTGCAAAGGCATCTATGTATGTCAAATACGTTGTGTCGGCTCAAAACTTAATACAGCTGAGTACAAGGCATTATGAATTACATGATAAGAATAGCAATCATAACCAGTGTGATAAGAATAGCAATCCTAACCAGTGTGATAAGAATAGCAATCCTAACCAGCTCAGTTCAAATGTTGCTCAAGTCTTCAGTAATGTGCTATGTACAGGAAACAAGGAGGGATTTTCTAAGCTTCATATTCCCGATGTACAGAAGGAACCCATTCTTATTGCTTCTTTGGTTTAAGCAATGAATTATATTCTTCAAGATGGGTTTCTGGTGCTCTGGAAACCCGATTCTGAATTTCCATATCTGTCTAAAATGCCCAGTCAAGTGGCTTAACTGTGTCCGCGACTGGACGGATGGTCAAGTGTCTTAATCAGACTTGTTCTTCCCCTCTTCTCAGTTTTACTCGACTTGTAGTGCAGTCACTACCATTGGAATGGTTTTGCTACATGGACTATACACCATTTGTGCGTACCCTCACACCATTACTCATGGCTTTTGTCCTTGTTTTCTGTGGCCAGGCACCAAAAGTATACCCATATAACAATCTGCAAGAGGAGCTCGGTGATCAAGATCGATAGGTTACTACGCGGGGCATGCTTGAGGGACTTCTACTGTTGCACAAACTTTCTTCTTTTGAATGTGGTGATGGTTGGGAATAATGGCTGTAACTGAAGTTTTAGCTTCAACCGGATCATTGGCGTTGTTGAATGCTTCTCTAAGTTCATGGTGTTCTTTTTTCTTTTGATAAGATGCAGATGTTGAGATAGAAACTGGTATGCTACCTCTTGTTCATCAAAATCTTATTTTCACCTGTTATTTATCTATGATGATGAATAAAACGAACAAAATTTTCTCCCTGTTCTCTCCTTAATTGCAACTTCTTCCTCCCATCCCATTCGTCCATGTCCATCTCTTGTCATCTCGAAATCTAGATTTTCTCAACAGACAAGGATTGCGGAACTGTATGAGAGTTCGTACTGAAAAAGTCAGTAGGATATTTTGTGTGGAAATTGTGATCTAATAAAAGTTCAATTATAAGGCTAAAACCACCTCTTTATTTAAATTTCGGTAAGAAGTTTTTTTGGTTGGACTGACAATGTGATTTCTCCAACAGTGCAATCCGAACATTCATCAAACTACACCCCATCGAAAGATCACAACACATTCAAAGAACGTCTACACAGTATTGTAAACAAAGTATTGGTACAGTCAGCGGCTAATCCAGAACACAATAGAACATTGTGCCACATTTGAATAAAAAATTAGATACCAACTAGCTCCGGGTAAATGCCACATTTGGTCATTGGGGGTTACTAAATCGTGTTATGTTTAGTCATTAGAAAAAAATGATATCAATTTTAGTCACTCGAATTACTAAAACAGGTCACATTTAGTCACTCTCCCGTCTGCCTCCGTGCAACTCCGGTCACTCGAATTACTTTTTTTTTTTTATGAATGTCACTCGAATTACTGAAACATGTCACATTTAGTCACTCTCTGTTAGTTTTTGTCCAAATCCATTAACGGAGTTAGATGGAAATTAACGGGAGAGTGACTAAATGTGACATGTTTCAGTAATTCGAGTGACCAAAATTGATTTTAATATTTTCTAATGAATAAACATTGCATGTTTTAGTAATTTCAGTGACCAAATGTGGCATTTACCCAACTAGCATTAGGCCGAAAGAGACAGAGAAGGCTGGAAAAGCATGTCTCATTTATTATTGTTTGACACGGATTAGTGTCGGGTGATTAGTGTAGAGCCTTGATCCGGACTCACTCGTCTGATCTCCTCGGGAGTGGAAAAATCCGTGGAGACTCGGGGGCGGCCTCCGTGATCTACACTACGACGCTCAAGTTAGAATATGATATATAATAGTGTATAGAGGAATGTAGAGAGAGATAGGGTTTAGAGAGAGAACCATAAGTGGTCAAATGTGGGAAGGGAGAGAAGTCCTTTGGTTTGGAGGCATGAGTCTCCTTTTATAGGAATCTTGGGCTTCCTTTCGTGGGCTTGGGCCCGATAAGATGTGTAGAGAGATGGGCTTGGGCCCGTTGATGACGTAGTTGTTTGTTGTATTAATCGAATTAATATCACACCCAACAATTGCCCCTTTACTTCTAGTATTCTGTAAGAATGGAAGGAGTAAAATAATATCTTAAAGCGTATTAATTTGCCTTACTTTTGAGACTGGATGATGCATTTCCCCTTTAAGCCTGTCGAGAAGCGTTATGCTTCTGAGTGTGGTTGGTGTGTTTTGCCCCCTTTGTTGCGTTACATTATCATTGCCCCTTGCTTAGATTTCGATGACTTGAAGGGGGCAAAACACACCAATTATTGAAACATGAGCGACTCCATAAACCACACAAGCTTGAAGACAGAACTGCGGTCTCGAAAAACTACATCTCCCGCCTCTGGGAATGTCTTGAATTACAGCTCCCAAGTTGTGGGGGCCACCCTCCCTAGTACATAGTTAACAACAAATGGGCTATTGGGGTAAGAGGCGTTTTATGGAGTCGCTCTGCCTTCACGGTGGCGTTTTATGAGCGAAATTTTCGTGCCAAGCCCGAAGGCAGGAGGCGTGTGTCTTCGTGCCTTGGGGCGTTGCTCCGGAGTTGTTCTGCCTTCGACGTGGCGTGTTATGATCAACTCGATGCCTTCGAAGACATTTTGTGGAGTCACTCTACCTTCGGAGTGGCGTTTTATGAGTGATCTCCTACCTCGGGGGCATAAATCTTCGAGCCAAACCCAACGGTGATAGGCGTGTGTCTTCGTGCCTTGCGGCATTGCTTCAGAGTTGTTATGCCTTCGGAGTGGCGTGTTATGAACAACTCCATGCCTCGGAAGGCATTTTGGTGGAGTCAATCTGCCTTTGGAGTGCATTTTATGAGTGATCACCTACCTCGGGAGGCATAAGACTTCCAGCCTTGCCCGGAGTCGGGAGGCATAAGTCCTCGAACCTTGGTGAGTTGCTCCGGAGTTATTCTGCCTTCGGGGTGGCGTGTTATGAACAACTCCATGCCTCGGAAAGCATTTTGGTGGAGTCGCTCTGCCTTCGGGGTGGCATTTTATGAGCGATCTCTTGCCACGGGAGGCATTTCGTGGTTGGGTTGTTCTGCCTTCGGGGTGGCGTGTTATGAACAACCCTATCTCGGAAGGAATTTTATGGAGTCGCTCTGCCTTCAGGGTGGCATTTTATGAGCAATCTCCTGCCTATTTAGGCATAAATCTTTGTGCCAAGCCCCTAGGCAAGATGCGTGTGTCTTTGTGCCTTGGGGCGTTTCTCCAGAATTGTTCAAGCTTCGGGGTGGTGTGTTATGAACAACTCCATGCCTCAGAAGGCATTTTTGTGGAGTCACTCTGCCTTTGGAGTGGCGTTTTATGAGCGATATCCTACCTCGAGAGGCATTTCATGGTTGGGTTGTTCTGCATTCGGGGTGGCGTGTTATGAACAACCCTGCCTCGGAAGGCATTTTATGGAGTTGCTCTACCTTCGGGGTGGGGTTTTATGAGGGATCTCTTCCCTCGGGAGGCATATATCTTCTTGCCAAGCCCGTAGGCAAGAGATGTGTGTCATCGTTCCTTGGGGCGTTGCACCAGAGTTGTTCTGCCTTCGGGGTGACGTGTTATGAACAACTTCATGCCTCGGAAGGCATTTTTGTGGAGTCACTCTTCCTTTGGAGTGGCGTTTTATAAGTGATATCCTACCTCGGGAGGCATAAATATTTGAGCCAAACCCGGAGGCGGTAGGCGTGTGTCTTCGTGCCTTGGACCGTTTCTCCTCTAAGCCTATCGAAAGGCGTTTAAGCTTTCACCCTATCGGAAGGCGTTTATGGGTGTCGGGAGGCGTTTAAGCTTCCAGCCTGTTGGGAGGCGTTTTTCTTTTGAGCCAAGAGACGTGTGTCTTCGTGCTTTGGGGCGTTGCTCCAGGGTTGTTCTGCCTTTGGGGTGGCGTGTTATGACCAACTCCATGCCTCAGAAAGCATTCCTGTGGAGTCGCTCTACCTTGGGGGTGACGTTTTATGAGCGATCTCCTACCTCAGAAGGCATTTCATGGTTTGGTTGTTCTGCCTTCGGGGTGGCGTGTTATGAACAATCCTGCCTCAGAAGGCATTTTATGGAGCCACTCTGAGTTCGAGGTGGCGTTTTATGAGCCATCTCTTACCTCGAGAGGCATAAATCTTCATGCCAAGGCCGGAGGCAAGAGGCGTGTGTCTTCATGCGTTGGGGCGTTGCTCCGAAGTTGTTCTGCCTTTGGGGTGGCGTGTTATGAACATCTCATGCCTCGGAAGGCATTTCATGGTTGGTTTGTTCTGCCTTCTAGGTGGCGTGTTTAAACAACCCTGCCTCGAAAGGCATTTTATGGAGTTGCTCTGCCTTCACGGTGGCATTTTATGAGCGATCTACTGCCTCGGGAGGCATAAATCTTTGTTCCAAGCCCAAAGGCAAGAGGCGTGTGTCTTCGTGCCTTGGGGGGTTGCTTCAGAGTTGTTCTGCCTTCGGAGTGGCGTGTTATGAACAACTCCATGCCTCAGAAGGCATTTTGGTGGAGTCCCTCTGTCTTAGAGGTGGCGTTTTATGAGTGATCCCTTACCTCGGGAGGCATAAGTCCTCGAACCTTGGTGAGTTGCTCCGGAGTTGTTATGCCTTCGGGGTGGCGTGTTATGAACAACTCCTTGTCTCGGAAAGCATTTTGGTGGAGTCGCTCTGCTTTCGGGGTGATGTTTTATGAGCGATCTCCTGCCACGGGAGGCATTTCGTGGTTGGGTTGTTCTGCCTTCGGGGTGGCGTGTTATGAACAACCCTGTCATGGAAGGCATTTTATGGAGTCGCTCTGCCTTCGGGGTGACATTTTATGAGCGATCTCCTTCCTCGTGAGACATAAATCTTTGTGCCAAGCCCAGAAGCAAGATGCGTGTGTCTTTGTGCCTTGGGGCGTTGCTCCAGAATTGTTCAGGCTTCGGGGTGGTGTGTTATGAACAACTCCATGCCTCGGAAGGCATTTTTGTGGAGTCACTCTGCCTTTGGAGTCGCGTTTTATGAGCGATCTCCTGCCACGCGAGGCATTTTGTGGTTGGGTTGTTCTGCCTTCGGGGTGGCGTGTTATGAATAACCTTGTCATGGAAGGCATTTTATGGAGTCGCTCTGCCTTCGGGGTGGCATTTTATGTGCGATATCCTACCTCGGGAGGCATAAATCTTCATGCCAAGCCCGGAGGCAAGAGGTGGGTGTCTTTGTGCCTTGGGGCGTTGCTCCAGAGTTGTTCTGCCCTGGGGGTGGCGTGTTATGAACAACTCCATGCCTCGGAAGGCATTTTTGTGGAGTGACTCTGCCTTTGGAGTGGCATTTAATGAGTGATCTCCTACCTCGGGAGGCATAAATATTTGAGCCAAACCCGGAGGCGGTAGGGGTGTGTCTTCGTGCCTAGGAGCATTTCTCCTCTAAGCCTGTCGAAAGGCGTTTAAGCTTTCACCCTATCGGAAGGCGTTTATGTGTGTCGGGAGGCATTTCTCTTTTGAGTCAGTCGGAAGGCATTTAAGCTTCCAGCCTGTTGGGGGCGTTTTTCTTTTGAGCCAAGAGGCGTGTGTCTTCGTTCTTTGGGGCGTTGCTCCAGAGTTGTTCTGCCTTCGGGGTGGCGTGTTATGAACAACTCCATGCCTCAGAAAGCATTTTGGTGGATTCGCTCTGCCTTCGGGGTGGCATTTTATGAGCGATCTCCTGCTTCGGAAGGCATTTAATGGTTGGGTTGTTCTGCCTTCGGGGTGGCGTGTTATGAACAATCTTGCCTCAGAAGGCATTTTATGGAGTCGCTCTGCCTTTGAGGTGGCGTTTTATGAGCGATCTCCTGCCTCGGGAGGCAAAAATCTTCGTGTCAAGCCCGGAGGCAAGAGGCGTGTGTCTTCGTGCCTTGGGTCGTTGCTCCGAAGTTGCTTTGGGGTGGCTGTGTTATGAACAACTCTATGCCTCAGAAGGAATTTTTGTTGAGTTACTTTGCCTTCGGAGTGGCGTTTTATGAGTGATCTCCTACTCGGGAGGCATAAATCTCCGAGCCAAACCCAGAGGTGATAGGAGTGTTCCTTCGTGCCTTGGGGCGTTGCTCCGGATCTTATGTGTGTATCTGTGAAAGATGTGAGTGGCAAGTGCCTCATACTTATTGAGCATAGCAAGTTGATAATAACCTAGCAGTGTTGCAGTGGGACTCTCATTGTATGAAATTGAAATACTTATTTGAAGAAAATACTTAGCTTTGGTGTAAGATAGGTAGCAAGAAGCGATGAATAAAAGGCGTTGTAAAATGGTGCACAAGTTCGTCTTCTAGCATACAAGTTGTAGGCGTTGCTGGTTTCCATCCGAACCCGTGTTCGAATCCTGTTGTTGATGTTTATATTTTATGTTTTAAGTAAGTTTTCTGGAGGGCGAAGCAGGCCATGGGGACGATCTTGGTGGGCTTTGTTGGCGGCTGATCTTCGGATGCAGAGGCGAGTCCATGTGGCGGAATTGATAAGCGACATGTTGCAGATGGGGTCCTGTGAAATGGTATTGTTGGGCTTTCAAAGCGGCCCAAATCTTCGAAGGCGCGATACGGCTCCGATGCAGGTGGGCTGGCGGTTGGAGAAGACGTTGATGTGTGTTTAATGGAGATTTTGGTGGAGCTGGGTTAACGCTTTAAAAAGTGGTGGTTGTGATTTAATGCATGTAGTGCACTGGTAGATGCTCCTGCTTGTTAGAGTATGATTGCGCGTTCGAATCCCCATGGAGATGCTTTAAATTTGTCTTGCAGAAGGCTCAAGGGAAAAGGAGCGGGCCGAGTTTTGGGTCCATGAAGAGTTTGGCGGAGCAGGCTGGACGGATAGCGGGCTGGAACATAAGGCGGGCTCACTAAGGACGGGGCCGAACTTGAGGAGGATTGGCCCGCGTTGAAATGTTGGAGGCGGCGAGCTGGAACATAAGGCGGGCTGAATGTATGTGGGCTTCTGGCTTCAGTTTAACGATGAGCGGACTATAGGGCCGCCTTGAGCCTCCATAAAGGGCTAGGGAAATTATTCATCGAGAGTGTCTGTCGACCGTTCTCTTTATTCTAGGCTATTTTCGCAACGTCCCTTCTTTTTCTGCGCTGCTTGTGCATGGTGTTTTCCTCCTTGCAATGCGTCTCCCTTCTGACTCTCTCGATATTTGTGTCCACCTGCTTCTTCTGATAGAGAGAAGTAACTTTTTATCTACTTTCGGCTATGCACTGTAGATGAACATATCTACTTTTTGAGACTATTTCTTTTTCTTCTTCCAAGACGAAAACTTGACGGCGACTGCGACTCCTTCTAATTTCGTGGGAGCTCCGGCGTATATTTATCGCCGGCGGTCGGCACCTATATATATATATATTTTCTTTCCTTCTTCTTCGTTGCATCTTCTTGTTCCTATCATTTCCCTCAACTACCCTATTGTTGCTGGGAATTTCTTGTTCTTCACACGAGTTTAGATGAAGAGAGAGAAACTAGGGATTTTTCCAGAAATAGCACAATTAAATTTTTTTTCCCCAAAAATAGCACCATTTTTCAAAAACCGCCACCCGAACCAGCGGTTTACACGAAACCGCAGGGTGGGGGCGCGGTTTTTATCGATTTTCGATGAAAACCGCATGGTTATGGGGCAATTCTGAAAAATGCTCTGGGTGGGGGCGGTTTGAACCAAAACCTCCACCCCATCCAGCGGTTTTGGTCCTTTTTTTTCAAATCAACTCCTAACCTCGCCGATAACTTCAAACAAAACTTTGCACTCGGTTCGAAAAAACGTCATTTGCTACCCCGAACGAGCCTTTTTTCGATTTCATCAAACTTTGGGCGGCCATAACTTTGTGCTCCAAAATCCGAACGTCATGAATTTTTTTTCATTTCACATAACTTTTTAAGGACTACAACTTTTATCATAGACATAATTTCAGAATGTACGTAGATTTGTGAAAAGGGAAGCTAACGTTATTCCCAAAACTCTGTATATCCAATAATAATTCCTGTTTTCAAAATTTCTTCGTAGCAATACATTTAAAAGCGCGATTCTACCTAGAAGCGGGAAGTGGGTAAAATCGTAAAACATAGAATCGAAGCGTAAAAGCGTAAGTTTTTGACGCACCCTCTAAAATAGCTAAAATATGTTAAGTACAACATATAGTATGTAAAATGTGAGTGTGTAGATTTTAGATAAGTGAATAACTACATGAAATTTATAATTAAAATGTAATATCTAACACATAAACTAATTTGTCGTAGAGAAAATGAACTAGTTATGCCAAGACTAATTAGAGGGTGCGTCAAAATGTGTTGACTCAAAAGTAGAGAAAACTAATTAGATTTAATACGGGATGATGGTGTTTAGAATCAAAGACCTCTTGTATACAAAGAAACAACTGAACTAGTTATGCCAAGACCACTTATGGTGATTATTTGAAAAAACAAATATTACAAACTGCCCCCTGGGAGTGCAGTTTGCACCAAAACCGCTCTGGCCCCACGCGGTCAGCAAAACTACCCCCTACCCGTGTGGTTTTCGTCGAAAACCGCTCCCCCACCCTGTGGTTTTCGAAAAAGGGTGGTATTTTTGCAATTTTTCTAGACTGGGTGCTATTTTTGAAATTTTTTTAAACAGTGCTATTTATGGAAAAAGTCCGAGAAACTAGATCAGAGAGTTGAGTTGCGGGTTCAACAGCTGGCATCGGCTGCGGTGGAGACGAAGGGTCGGGCGACGATCGGTGACGACGCGAGCTCTACTGGGGGGGATTCTGCTGCTTCGCTGATGCGAAAGACACAAAGGGTCATTGTCAGCGCTGGCGGAGAAGAGCAGTTGGCAGTGGCTGGCGATGATGGCAGGGCTAGGCTGTAATCGTTTCTTCTTTGTTGTTGTCGAAGATGATTTTAGATCCTCGTTGCTATTTTTCCCTTTTGTTGAGAGCTCAGGCGACTCTAGGATTTTGGCAGATGCTGCGGTTGTTTGTAATTGGTAGATGAAGAACCTATTTCTTTCCTCCTTCGGAAATCAAAATCAGAATATCCAAATCATCGCCCAACGGTGGGCGCCAAACTGTTTGACCCGGATTAGTGCCGGGTGAATAGGAATGTGTTACCCTGGTTTCTTTTTTTTTTTAAGTAACCACCACGACTACCTCCTTTTTGGCCATACAGATTATGTAAATCCAATCTGAGGGCCCACTTTGCTTAAGGGTGTTTTTGGAAGAGACCCACATGATCACTTTGTGTCCTTACTAGACCCAAATCAAAGGGGGATTTTCCATACCCACGCTTCCGTTCTTTATTGTTTCTCTTTCCTTATCAAGGTCTCTCCCAAAACCCTTTTCCCTTTCTTGCTCCGGCGCCGTGGTCTCTCTCCAGAGCCGCGGGCTCACTTCCTTCGTTTAACGTCTCTCCCTCGCGCAACCGTAAGCCTTTTCTGGACTGTCTTCGCAGTCATTCCTTTCTGGCGAGGGTTCTCGGCGACTGGTTCTTTATCAGTTGGTGGGTAAACGAGCGTTCTCGACGGCTCCCTCCACTATTCCAGTTCTTGTTCGTCCCACTCCGCCTGCGCTGGGAAACGAAACGGTACGCCGAAGGAGCTGTTGTTCAGAGGTTGTCGTTCGAGCAACTTGTCGGTGCAACCATTTCCGTTGTCAGCGCGTCTCCTCTGTGAGTTGATGTTCAGAGGTTGGTCCCCCGCCAGAACAAAAATTTAATCTTTTTGTAATACCGCGCGGTATATTCATTGCATGTTCTTCCAATCGTATACATCTGGGATTTGGTTTTGTTTGGAATGGTATTCTTTTTGTTTTTGTATCCTTGCGTTCGGTAACGTTTGTTTGGCATGGATTGGTATATTATTGCTGATTTGGTAGTGATTTAGCTTTTAGGTTCTTCG